TCTCAACTGCAAAGCAGTGTGAGTTTGCGATCATTGGAATGTACATACGTGTACAATCCGTCCATGGCTTTCCATATGTCGGCTCCAGCCTAATGACCCACTCCAGCATGTATTCAAGCACCACATTCCATTCTCTTGGAGTAGGAGTGTGCTATACTCAATATCAAGGGCACGTGCAAACCCGGAGCTCGGATGACTCGACAGGAATGTCAAAAGATCTCGGGTGTCTCCGAGCTCGATCGCGCAACATTTTCGTAGCCACGTCGATATGCTAACGCAGAAACACCAATAAAAAAGAGATGTTCATTAAATTAAATAAAACAACAAATTATGTAAACATAATAAATAACAACGAGAATACACTTACATCATCGGTGAGCCAAGTAGCATTCGTCAGTATATCTTCAAACCACTTCTTAGTGTTCAAAATCGTCTTTTCCCCAATCTAGTAGTTATCTCTAAAAAATGAAAAAGTGAAGTGTTATAAAAAGTATAGATGATTGAACTTTAGTAAAATCATAAAATACATACTCAAGTTTAAGGCATTTGAACCATTCATCGAACGCTTTGTGTTTAACTGGGTCGACCTTGCAGAAGAGATTGGGGAACGTCCCGTCCAAGAACGTCCTTTTCTTCGCATCGACTGCGAAAGGGGAAACGATGTATTGTGACGGCAATCTTGGCCTCTTACCAACCACCAGCGATGACACGTCAACAGCACGCTTCGTACCCTTCCTCACCTCTGTCGCCCCCTCCGACACAAAAACTACGTCCTCCAGTACCCCTCCATCCGCCTCCGCCTCCTCCGATAACCCCTCATCCGCCTCCGCAGGTACCCTCTCCTCCACATCCTCCGATACCCCCTCCACCTCCACCGGTACCCCGTCCCCACATTTATCGGTACCCCTCAGCCTTCGCCGGCACCTTCTCTTCCATCTCCTCTGGTACTCTATCCGCCTCCGTCGGTACCCCCTTCACACCTTCCATCGTGTACTCAAAAAATGACTCGTATGCAACATTCGATGGCCACGACAGATCATCATACCCCATCTGACTCGCTTCTCTATCATCCCCTCCATTCTGAGGACCGCCAGTCCCTCTGTCACCCGCTCCATCCCAATAGCTGCCAGTCCCTCGTAGGCCTGCTATGTCGCCTCGTATCGCGATGACCTCATTACGAAGGTCTCTTAACTAGCCTCGTAGCATCGTGACATCATATTGTAACTTCGCTACTTTGCCTCTCATTTCCCTCATAAATGTAGTCAGAAGGTCGAACGTATCATTATTGAAAACAGTATGACTACGTACAGTAGGTGATCTCCTAGGCAGAGGTGACCTCAGCGGAGGTCATACTGGATGCCCCTCCTAAAAAAATCAACATCACGAATGAATAACTTAATTAAAAAATAAAAAAGATAATCAACATATTATATTCAATGAACATACCCTATCTCGATCAACGATGGACTCAGACATCTGATTGTCTGGAGTGGCCGGAATAAACAGGTAACGCAGGTAACTCTGACCCTCCTCCTCAATCGACAGTGTCAACTAAGTGAGGGCTTCAAGCTAATTGACATTTCACCGAGTTAATGACCATGTATCGAGATTTTAAAAGGACATACAACATAAATCGCAAATATATAATACATACTTCAGGATCGTCGATGAGAGCTGATATTTGTTTCGTAAGTGAATTGTCATGTGCTCGCTAGTGATGCATCAGATGGCAGCATGTCTCCCCTCTCTTCGCATACCGGCCAACCAAGATGGGGAAAGTCTCGTACACCCATATCTGCAACAATTACAATT